ATACACTCCCAATTTGGCCTAATCCAAAATCAGGAAGCAGGCCAGACCCTTGTCAAGCCTCCCTTGTCCTGATGTTTGAAAACTCAACAACCAGGAACGGTTCTCCCAGCAGCCCTTAGCCCTGCAATTCTGCAGCGAGACGGTGCTCATGGCAAACCCCAGTAGCCCAAATCAACCCAGAGCAAAGATACCGATGGCCAGATGGCCAGACGGAACCGGGGGCAAGCAAAAACGAGGACAGTGAGAGGGTCTGATGGGAAAATTTCAGTAAGAAATGGGCAATTCCAGGAGAGCAAACATTCCAAACGCTGAGAACGCACAACCATGCAAACAGGTGACAGTGGTTCAGGGTAACAGAGAGTTAAAAGCTAGAGCAGCCTTTTCCTCTGAGAAAAGGAGGGGTGGAAGGGCCTGCGGTCAGAGCTGTGACCCTGTCTCTAAGCCCAAGTGTGACTGGGTGTGTGTTTTTCTTGACTTGATTTTAGAAGCTGAATCTAATTCCTGCATCTGAATCTTCTCTTGCACAAACTCCCTTCCGTCCACCAGGCAGGGAGGACTAGACATCAGACAAGGAATCTTGCCTTCTCTGGACCTTCTGGAGGCTCAGCCTGAGGACCACAGGCATGTTGAGGTTGGGAGAGAAGTGTGCCGGGACAGACCTCTGTCCTCTAACTCAGGACAAAGGAGTCACAGTGCAGAAGGTCTTGATGGAAGGTTCCCGCTAGGAGCCAGACTGTCTGCAGCCCACCAGCTGCCCTTTTCCTTCATGGAGTTATGGCACAGCCAAGCTAATGCTAGTCCCTTGCCTGGGAGGATGCATTCTTTCCCTCCAACTACCTAATGGAAGCAAACACAGATGTCTTGTCCTGGTGAGCATCCGACCTGACCATATTTAGTCTCCATCAGGGAAGGTTGTCCTCACCCGTTTGCAGCCTCCTTCTCCTTCTCATGAATACCTGCCAGTTCTGGCACTGGGGAGAAAGGCAGCGGAAGAGAATCCTGGGAGACTGCATTGCCTGCAGGATTGGTTGAGCTGCACTACAGGGACGGCCCAGTTGGAGACAAGGCTAAGATGGCTTTGTGCTGACCTGCACGGCAGTTTCTTCCTGGTGCTTATTTTTCTCTCTAGTCAACAACTGATCACCTTTTCCTCCCCCCACCCCTTCTACCTCCCACCCCTCCTTAGAAGCCTTGGAGCCTCCCCTAAGCCTGACCCAAGTCAAAAGCTGATTTTGTTGTGGCCTAGAAAGATGCTGTAGCTACAGCCATTGCATATCTTAGAATGGAAGTTGCCAAGCTGGGGAGTGGCTGGGGAGGATGGCCTTACCCCTGAGGAATCTCATATATGGTACTCACCTTACTTATCCCTTGGGTTAGGGCGTGCAATTCTCCCTTCGTTCATTCAGATAATAGACTTATCATCCAGGCAAAGAGGCAAAATCACCTGTATCTGTGTAGTGTCTTCAGACATTGAGGCGGCAAAATGGAAAGTGAGGCCCTTAAGCCATAGTCTCCCTTCCCGCCAGCCTTCCCCAAGTCTGGATCATGACAATGGGCCTCGGTGCACACCATCAAAAGGGTGCAGCAGAGATGAGATGGTGCACACACGCCTCCCTGAGACCTCCTGCTCTTTCTGTCTTTGGGAAGGAGAAAATCCAGTGTGCGGCTTTACGCTTTGTCTCTAAATCCTGATGACCAGGGATTCTCAGAGAAGCTCTGGCCTTGGGTCCCAAGGGCACTCAAAAAGCAGGTTTCCTGAAAGAACAGACACCAAGGCTCCTGACGCAGGCATTTGCAGGGATGGAGGCAGAAACTTCTCCAGAGTTCCCCCAAAATCCCAAGGACCAGGTCATGTGGATTCCGATCCTTTCCCAGCATCCAGGCTGGCTAGTTTGGGCTTTCAGGTGATGGGTAGGCCATCCTAATGAAAGCCACGTGGTGGGGGTTACTGTTTAAACCTGCTGGCTCCTTTCTGCTTCTTCCCACCTCCTCTCTCTCTTAAACACACATGCAGCGCTCCCTCCCTCCATTTAAGCAAACAACCCTCTCCGTGATTAAGTGCAGCCCCTTCTTATCTAAATACCACACAGATGTATGAGGACATGGGAGCCTGCTGCTCTTCCAGAGAACTTATCTTCTCCAAGGCCGCACAAAGCAGCCTTCCTTGGCCTTTGCTGACAGAAATTCTAATACCTGCACCCTAGTAAATCAGCCCTGCTTGGCAGGCTGTCCCCCATTTGTCAGAGATAGGATTTTCCCTCCAAAGACTTCAGTCGCCTTTCCCATCTTGGCTTCCCCCACAGCAAGCGTTTGAAACTGCCCAGATGCGAACAAATGGAACACAGAAAGTCCCACCTCTGTTGGCAACTTCCTGTCTTACTTCAGCCATCCAGATAACACCTTCAGTTGGCTAGCTACAACTGCCGCGGCAGTGGGAACTAGCACTGTTAAGGGACACAGCTTGAAATGGTAACAGAGTAAAGATGGGACCTTTGAGTGTCCCTGGAGGCAGAGAGAAGAGTATACTCCAGGGGGATGGCAGTTTAGGGCTAGGCGGTGTACAGTTTGCCTCGCAAGGCCTTAGGTCTGGCTCCCAGCACTGTAAGCAATTAAAAAAAAAAGTAGTGAATGATTCAAGATTAACCCTAGCTAATTTGGGTTTATAATCAGTTCTCACTCCAATTGGTTTTGTTCTCGATTCAAAGTATGGCTCATATCTTGAGTCTAGAAGAGATGGCTTCTCATAAGGATTCCCAAGACACATTGTTCCAATAGGTGTAAGGACACTCTGGAGCCTCGAGAGAGACCCAGCTCCCACTGTCCTTAGAGGTATGAAGTCTGTAGGTGGTGGATCACACACTAGGGAGGCAGAGGTGGGGGGATCTCTGTAAGTTCAAGGACAGCCTGGTCTACAGAGTGAGCTACACAGAGAAGCCCTGTCTTGAAACACCAGAGAGAGAGAGAGGGAGGGAGGGAGGGAGGGAGGGAGGGAGGGAGGGAGGGAGAGAGAGAGAGAGAGAGAGAGAGAGAGAGAGAGAGAGAGTTACACTCCATCTTAGATCCACAGAATCAGAACCTGCACCTGTCCTATGTGGCTTGTGCTTATTAAATCTTAGCAGTGCTCTTTGAAGATCCAGATGTGCCCTACTATAAAGGAAAAAGCCGAGTCTCATCCCCTCCCTCTGAACCACTTTATTAACTAATATCAAAGTGACCCACAATACTTCAGGAGATCCTGTAGCAATGTGTGTGGAGGAGAAAAGAAAAAGTCCCAAATAAATACCTGCTTTTTTGTTCCCAAGCCATGTTTGGGCTATTAGAAGGTTTTGCAAAGATGCAATGGACTGGGGTCTTGGAACAGCCAGCATATGACTTACAAGTTCTAAATCTGGTGTTATCTAGATTGTCAACTTGATTGGACTGTAATGTGCCCAGGAGAGATAACTAGATCTTGAAGACTCTGACCCAGTAATAGTTCAATCCTTTGATGAATTAAAAGTTTGAATGAGCTGTTGGGAGGGAAACTGCAGGTGGGATTCCAGCAGGAGGATGTAGGAGAAGTGTTCTTGGGGCTGCCTCTTGCCCTGACTCCTTGCTAAGACTTTTCTATGTTTCCTGTGTGTTGTGAGCACCTGTTTCAGTGAAGGGGAGGCAAACTAACATATGAGACCCCATTACCACCCTTCATAATCAAGATTTCTGGGGCTGGAAGCCAGGAACTGGACACGGGCATGTCACTCTCTGTGACCACCACACAGGCTAACGGGGAACCCGTGACTTTCATCAGGTGATGGGTCCAAGTTTTTCTTCCTTAGAAGCCAATGTAGATTTGCTGGCATGTCTGGATCCTATTGGGAAGATGGCGAAGACAACCTAACTTGGACCCACCTCTTGCTGCCCTTTGATAGGATCTGGCTAGTTCCTTGAAGACAAGTGACGTTATGCAGACTGAAATCAAGCTAGCCTGTAGTTCTAAGCACACCCACATTCTTAGGCCTGGGGATCCTGAACTCCCCAGCACCCTCCCTGAAACCAAAGTATATTTCTGCACACCTGTCATCATCTTTGTGCTAATTGGTTGAAAGAGGACAGTTTGAAATGTCATGAGATGTTATGGGTCATGGAAGTTTGGCTTCTGTAGGGGTGGTACCAAGCCTGAAGGAAATTCTCTCCTTAGACCACAGAAGAACCAAGAGGAAATGCCAATAGTCTACTCCGCAGTGCTTGCATTTCGGTATTTCACCAGTTAGGCGAGCATGTGAAAACCCCCATTCCTCGCCTTAGAGATGGTGATGTTGTGCTTGGGTAGGTGAAGTTTTGATGTGCATTTGGAACAAAATTACTAGTTGTTCCAATGTGGAGGAGCTTTTTAACTAGGGTGCACCATCCAACGAAGCTATCACTACAATAGAAGAACTCTGTAGGCAAGAAGCCCAACCCCAACATAAACAACCAGGGATCAGCAAAGTGTGTCACTCTGGGTACAAACGCAGACCCAGCAGATAATTCAGCCTACACAGCTGGGACTCAGGGACTGTGGGTTCTAATTCTAGCCATGCCAGTGACCCAAAGTCTTCTGGGAAGTCCCAGCCATGTCACATCTTAGAGTCTTCATCTGCAAAATCCCAGATGGGACCACAGGACCAGATACAAACCATTTCTTAAGTTCTGGCTGGTAATTTGAATGTGAACACTAAAACGGACCAGGGGATGGGGAGGAGGGTGGGGTATCTGAAACATGGGGCAGAAATCTTGGCAGAACTGAAACCCACACAGCCAGACAGACAACAGGCTGTTAGAGAGAGATGGTTAATGGGGAAGGAGGGTGGGGAGATTCATGGTCCTTCTCAGGTCTCTTCAAGCCTACCACACCCAGCTACCACTTAGAGGTGATGTCCTAGGACCGGAAACCGCCACTGAAACAACACAAGGGAATATGCAGAGCGGCGGAGTGTAGAGTGCTGGATGGCAGGGAGTCAGGTAAATCACAATTCACGTGGTTATTGATTGAGTGATTTTAGTGAATACATGGCAGGAAAAGCATGAAAACAAAACACATATGGGAATTACTATTAACATACGTGATAACATCAAAACATCTGGTCAAATGCAGTTAAAAAACAACACAAACGAAATGGAATGTAAAACATCTTCACAGTATTCAAAGCTTTTTATAAAACTTTTAGACTCTAAAAGTGGAGTCCTCACGCAGGAACTAGGGCCAACAGGAATTCCATCTGCGTGCTTAGGACCTGTGCTGCCAGGTCAGAGCAGCCAGCATGCCACCATCCAGATGTGGCCTCAGGTTTGCTTCTGAAACACATCTTGAAACACTCCAGCTATGAAGGTGCAACAGACCATCTAGTTGCATGGAGTCTAACAAGGAAAACGGGTTCTAGCTTTGGGAAATGAGATTTCTGTAATTTACACATTCATAGGAGGCCTAGAGCTCTGCTTAGATCCTGCCCCTGGGAGAATGTGGCGCTAACCCACCAACCATGAGAGCTGAGTGTTAACACAGAATGTTTTCAAAGGAAAATACTCTTACAATTCTTGCTTCCAAGTCTACCTTCTACGACAACTACAGATAGTGTGCAATGGTTCGGCGGGCCTGGCCTCCTCCTCTCCAGAAGGACTACTTGAAAGCTTTCCAAGTCTGCCCCTTTCACAGGCAACAATAGTCAGAACACACATGGCCCTCTGCTACTGGAGGCCAGTGAAATGAGTCTGCACATCGGTTTGTTGTACCTTTTGTCGAAAAAAACAAAGGTTGGTGACCACGTAGCTTTGTGTGCATACACAGCCTCCCTTTGTTGCCCTGAACTGCTGATGTCGTGGAATCAAAACTGCTCTGTGTGTGTCTAAAACCCTCACAGGTCCACAATGGAACTCTAAAGCCAGGGACTCTGAAGCTGGAGAGGAGCCGCTGCAGTCCACGGTGACCTCCTTCTGACAGCTACCTGAGGATTCCTAACCCAGAGCTTCCCAGTGCGGCCTCTGGCTTGCTATCCATGAAACAGCTAACACACCCGCCAGCTAAATTCATGTAGGAAGTCCTCTGCATAACACACTTTGCCAAGATGAGCAGACCTTCAGTGAGCCCTGAACTAGTGACTCGAGGTCCAGCTAGCTCTACACACTCACGAAATGTTTGCATTTCAGTTGGGCAATGAGAAAGTGGACTATTTCTAATTACTAATACCCATATGCATTTTAAAATAATCCAAAATTATAGACAAATCATTTAAGGTCTCTAATAACTTTATGATTAAGGTTGAAAGAATTTTTAAAGGCGTTATGATAATGGGATTACTAAACAGGAGGTTAATTAGGTCAGTATCCTACTTGGGTTGGTAACTAGGTTGGCTTGCTGACTTCCAGGCTACAGTCTTTTAGAAGTTACCAGAATTTTCCTGTTTCTGTGACAATCCAAGGCCACTGGATGACTTAGCGTGACTCCTCACAATCAATGCTGCACCTGGACTTCGTATGCCAGAGAGACAGTCAACAGGGGTCCTTGAGATGTGGTGGGAAAAGAACAGTCAGCCTTTGGTGGAAGAAATTAACGTTCATTTCTTTTCTCTTGAGAACTACCCGGACAACAGGAGTTAAGGCCACCGAAGGGACCTGGCTTATTTGCATCACTTATTAAGCATACCAACTTGGAGGAATGCCTCCGGGCACTTGGGAAACTGACAATGGTTAGTTTTGAAACCATATCCTTGAATAGGACACTTACCCTCCAAAAACACTAGTGTGTGTGTGGGGGGGGGGCTACAAAAGTAAAAGTGGAGAGGGGTCAGGCAGGCGGCAATTTCGAATTTCTTTTAACTACACACAGTCATGTTTAAAGAAATGGATCTCCTTGGAGAAAAGCAGTCTGGGGAGCTCTGTGGATTCCATAGCCGTGTGGGATCCTGGGCAGCACAGCACTGGCCGCGATTCCGGGCCTGCCTCCTCCCCAGCACATGCGCAGACAGAGTCATTTTCCACAGCACATGCGCAGTCAGCGTGAGGGCAGCCACCAGCCGTCTGCAATCTTAGCCTTGGTTATCTTTCAAATGCTCAGCGTGGATTTTCCTCCAAGCCTTGACGGGTGTATGGGATTTTGTCACTGTTTATGTTGCTGCTGTTCTTTTGAAATGTGACAGATGAAATAGGGTCCCCGTCCACCCCGACTCGTGACCAACTGATGCACTGCATTTGCTTTTTTCTTGCGCTGTATTTTTGAAAACCGGTAATCATGGGCTTCTCAGCCTGAAATGCCTCATGTCTCTTCATACAAAAGCAGGCCTCTGTCACCATTGTGTCCCAAGGGACCCACAGAAATGGCCATCTGAGACCAACAGTCTCCTATCAAAGGTTGGTGGGTGCAAAAGCTGAGGGTAGAAACAGGCAGTGGCCTCCCATCCAGCCCCTTGTCTACCCCATTCTGTACTGAGCCGTGTGTGTGTGTGTGTGTGTGTGTGTGTGTGTGTGCGCGCGCATGCGCTCGCGGGAGCCTGAGACTCAGTGAAAGGATTCTGCCCCTCCTTTTGCACAGTGACTGCTGGCCCTGCTGCAGCCCTTAAAAAGCGTTCCTAATCTAAAGAGCCCTGGACATAGCTGGCTGTGGCTATGTAAGGAGAAGGGAGTGGGGTCGCTGTAGGAACGGAGCCAGCTGCAATGCAAAAGCCACACCTGTAATGGACGAGGGCAATATGTGGACCCCAAGAGTCAGGGCCATCCACTCGCCCCCACCCTCACCCCAGGTCACACTCCCTCCCCAGCGCACCCCAGGATCACTTAAAAACAGACTGGAAGGTGGGGCACTCGTGGGTTTTCATTTTCTTCATGAAGTTTTTGAATTCCTTGTTTTTCTTGTCCCACTTGTGGATGGCCGTCAGCAGGTACTGGCTCTTCACCTTGCGGCCCATGATAAGGAACTGGTGGCTGAGGTTGTCCAGCTGGTGGCAGGGACAGTCGGCGCCGTTCTTGAGGAACAGCACAAGACGCTTCAGCTCCTTCTTCTTAATGGGCCCCAGTTTCAGGGGCTTCTTCTTCTTGGGGACGATCTTCTTGTCCCCATTTTCCTTCTTGACCTCTTTGATTTTCATCCTCAGAGCTAGGACAAGAAGGGGAAGCAATGAGAGAAGGGGAGGGTGAGGAAGAGAAAGTATTTAGAACAGAGGTTTCACTTGGAACAACACCCCACCCAGTCCTACGCAAAAGGAAAAGAGCTGGTCAATGGGCTACTGAGCTGCAAGTGCCCCCGGGGATTGCCGCAGGGCATCGAGAGGTTCTCAAATCAATTTTAGGATTCATCATGTGAATGGAAAAAGGCAGCTGATACTCATGCATGAACATTTCATAATGAAGTCAATTCTTTGGTATGTCAAAAACAATATAAAAAGAGAAGATGTCATATAATTCAACTTCATCTATAGAATCTCATGTTATTGTCCCAAACATTTAAAGAAAAAAAATTGTCCTAATTTTTCTTTTTAAAGAACGTTAGTGGTTTGGTTTTTATAGCATCCAAAACAAGACAGACAGAATCTGGGAGCATATTCAGCAAGGGAAATTCAGAGAGCCCTTCAAACCGTGTGCTAGGGTGTCAATGTCCAACTTTAGCACAGGTGAAATCGGAGTTCCTCTAGCTGTACGTTTAGGAAAGTTTGGTGTCAGGTAAGTCCCACAGATCAATAAGCCATGGGTGGAGAAAGAAAAAACAACCTACCCATCAACCCTCCCTCTTCTTTGCTTTGTGTCCACGGATCGAGTTACTTTTTGTTCCTCCAATATATGTTATGGAACACAGGGCCCCACTGTATGACAGGCAAGTATCCGGTCCTGATGGACTACATCCCGGCCCTGAATAGTATTTTGAACCTATGCGCAGCTCCTTCAGTGGTAGCCATAAAGGAGCCAACGGTCAAAGATGTTGGCTAAGCACACGGTGCCATGCTCCTTTAAAATCTGCCAACACTAGATATTAGACACTGGAAACCATCTTCGAGATATCAGTTACCAGATAACATGCATATCCTCTGAATTCTTTCCAGTGACAAGTCACCAGGCCCTCCACCATTTTTAAGTCGATCGATACTTATGCTGCACTCCATGAAGAAAGCCCTGTTTCTGAAACACATTTAGTAGTTACTGGTTCTCAAAGAGTGAGGTTGACCTGTAAATGCACTAAGTGTTTTGCTTTTATTCCTTTAATGGATGAATGCTAGTAACTCCATGAAGAAAGGACAATTATCTTCCCCATCTAAGAGATAAGAAAACTGACATGTGGCCAGTCAATTGGCTTGCTCGTTTGTTAGTTTTAAATTCCAACCCATGTGCATTAATTAACCATCCGTTATTTTAACAAATACCTAAGCTAAATCAACTGATAAGGAGGACAGGTCTGTTTTGGTTGACCTCCAGTTTTCAATCCATCATTACTGGCCCCATAGGGATGTGACAAAATAGCACATCATAGCCAGGGTACACAGCAGGAAAAAGCTGCTAGCCATATGGCAGTATCGCAAAAAGAAAGAAAAGAATGGTGGTTCGGTGTCCCTCAAGACATGCCCAAAATTACTCATTTCCACTAGGTCCTATCCCAGAGTGACACAGGGGTCCTCAGACCAAGTCGGCAGCATATAGGCCTGGGGGTGCAAAGGGTCTATATCCAAGCCATAGTGCCATGACTAACAGCACACTTCCAATTGCTTAGCTGTGCCTGCTGCCTCTGTGATTTCAAAATTCTTTATAATGAACCCAAAACGTAGCATCCTCATTAACTGGATCAAGAAAATAAAGGGTTCAGATGGGCTCCTAATTCCACTTCCGTTTTAGAACGGCCTGTCTCTAGCCAACAGCACAAGAGTCCTTCTAGCTCAGAGACTCTGCTAATAGAAGTCACCACAGAATGTTCTGCCGGTTACAAGGCCAAACCTTGGCTCCCTAACAAGTGAACGGGAAGGGCAAAGAGAAGAGTCTTGAGAGTCTAAGTCTGTGAATTTAAAATCCTCCCCCCCCCCATTGTTTTCTTTTTCTGATGAAAAGACATCCAGACCTTGAGGCTGACTTAACTCAAGTCCCGCATAGTACCCCAGGTCTGAGAAACGCTTCCTACCAAGGCTGGCAGAAAGGTCACAAGTAGATAGATCCTTGTGAGCATACATCCCTAGCTGCTGACCACCTAGCTCTCCTGGAGTCCCCAGTGCTCAGAACAGTAAGCTGAACCATAACTCCCCAGTGAATTCAAAGAATCAACGCCCCCACACCCAGCGGGTCACTGTCCACTGCTTCTGATTTGCTTGAGTCTCACCCCCCTGGTGAACAAAGCAATTGGAAGCCAGCGGGTGAGTGTTCCATGAATAGGCAGCAGAGACTGCCCCTCCAAGGCCTCACCCAGACAGGCCCAAACTGGCCCACACTTACCTCAGCTCCCACAGTTGGCTTATAGACCTGGGAGTTCACTTAGGAAAAATAAAAGGGAGATTTCACTTGTTCCAGTGTAAAACTTGATGAATGAGAGAAGTTCTCAATAGGGTTGAGTGAGGGGAGCAGCCAGAAGAGACTCACCACCTGGGCCAAAGCCAAGTGAATCTCATCTCTGCCTGCCTCTGCCAAACAGGGCCAATGGGAATGGAAAATAAACATTCCCTATTGTTTTCATCTTAGTGCCCTTTCAAGACCCATGGCTTAGAGCTTAGTCCTTAGTGGAACTATTAGGAAGTAGTAGAATGTTCACAAGGCCACAGTGAGGGGTCTTGAGGTCACTAATGTATGCTTTTTGACCTGGATGGCAGCACCCCCAAAGACCTTTCTCCAGTCTTTGGGGCTTTCTGGCCATTAAGTCCAAGATGCGTCCTAGACAACGTGGTGCCTCGCATAAGGCAACAGGCTAACTGATCAGGCACTAGCTGCCAAGACTGTTAGGCAGAAGAACCCTTTCCTGTATAAGCTGGTTGTATGAAGTATTTGCTGCGGTAACAGGAGGCTAACCCACGACTTACTAAAGACAGGATGCAAGGCAGTGAAAGTGACAGCTCTGGTCCTTTCCCAAGGTGGATGACGCCCAACTATGCCTTAAAAGTAGTCAAGTCTCACTTGCATCGCCATGAGAGAGGAATGCACATACCAGCAAACAACAGGGGAGTATCTTTACTACAACGAAGTGTGTCACCATTTACTGAATACCTACCATGCGCTGTGCTCGAGAGGTAAACACAGGCCAGGTGCTCTGGCTATTACAGTGGTTCTCAACCTGTGGGTCACGAACCCCCACAGGGTGGGGTTCTCATGGCAGATGTTTGCATTACGATTCATAACCTTAACACAATTACAATTATGAGGTAGCAAGGAAATAATTTTGTGGCTGGGGGGTTACCATGACATGAGGAAATGTACTAAGGGGTTGCAGCGCCAGAAGGTTGAGAACCGCTGATCCCCTAGTCCTTGTTTACTATTCTCAGCGACAGCCAAGCGGGCATTTTGAGTGTTTTCCATTTTGAGTGTTTTATTATAGTCAGGAAGAACCAGGGCCACACAATGGCAGCACAAGGCTGCAATTTGTAGGAGATGCAATCAGGATTGGAACCCATAGCCAAGCCCACAGACCAGGCTCTCTCTCTCTCTCTCTTTCTCTTTCTCTCTCTCTCTCTCTCTCTCTCTCTCTCTCTCTCTCTCTCTCTCTCTCTGTCTCTCTCTCTCTCTCCCCCCCTCTCCCTCTCCACCCATTATTGAGTTTAAAATGCTGTTGCTTCAGTGGAAACTATTTCTTGATTGTGCTGCTTTTAATCACAACTCAAAAAAAAAAATAATGTTCCTTTGTCATGACCATGTAAAGGAATTTAGTTTACATAGGTGGGGGACAGCGAAGGGAGGAGGGAAACCCATGATGGAAATGTGGTATGCATTAGGCTCTCCAGTTCTTGGCTGTTTGGCTCACTTTCCTTCTCAAGGTGGAGACAGTAGGGGAGAAGGCACATGTGGCCAGAATTGCTAACATCTTTCCACCTTCCCAGGGTCTGCTTTGGGCGTGTGCATTACCTGGAGTGTGTGATAGGCAATTACCTGTCCGAAGTTAATTTCTCCACATCTGTGGGTGCCTGGGCTAACTCTACCACTACCACCACCATGTCATGCCTGTGGCAGAGTCCAAAGTTGGTACTGGCCCAGAATGGCCAGGAATCGGTACTGGCCAGGAGGACACTAGGAAATTCACCCGTGGATGAGTTTACAATGCAAATGGCGGTGGCATCGAGGACACAGGGGACAGCTGCTGGGACAATACTGTACGCACTGTCTCGGTGTTCTATCTGTAAGACACAAGGCACAGCCTCGCTAATGGCATGGCTTATGTCATCTCCAGCACGCCATTTACCTGTCCTGTTCCATAAACACTGCATTGAAACTAACTTTTGGGATCCAGATTGCATCCACCTTAAAACAAAAGGAGAAGAAGAAAATAAAGGAAAGTAAAACCATTTTTTCCTTAGCAACAATTTAACATGCCCCAAGGGGAAAACATTACTCTTATCTATGCATTACTGCCAGCCCAATAATTCAGACACTCAGAAACTTTGAAAAACTCCAAACTTGAGGTTGCAATTTGTACTTGTTGGGTCTTTCTCAGAAATCTTAAAGCAAAACATCTCTTGGGTTTGAGTACCTCTGAGTACATTTCAGTAGACCATGAAAGCCTCATTCCACTTTCAGTCACTCAAACCATATTTTCTGCACACAAATTATCCTTCCTTGACAGCCTCCCCACAAGGCTCGGCCATATTTCTGAGGCTAAAAGGAGAATCAGAAAAGTCCTAAAAATCATCCCAAGCCTGACTTCCTTCCAAACTGCCTCTTCCTCTTGACATTCCTAGTCTACTAATAGTGTCCTTCTACCCCCCCACCTCCCCCAGTACTCCCCATCCCACCATGGCCAGGTACAGTCACCAAATGCAAGGCAGTCACCAGCTCAGGGCCATCCAGTTAAACAGGCAATAATCTACTGTTGCTGTAGGTATCTAAGAGGGAAACGAATAAGCTGGGAAACGTAGGAGTGTGGCTGAGTCAGAAATCACACTTGAAACTCAACGGATTACAGGTACCATGAGGGTGAAGTAT